CTCATTTAGCCGGTAGTGAGAAAAATTCCTCTGAATTAATCAAGTCAGTAATAGCTTCGAAGTTGGAACCACAGGATATTCCACAAAATTTTCCAATTTTGTCTAATCAATCTTCTTTCGATCGAAATAGTAGTCGTAAAACATCAGTATCAACTGATGATACAAAGTGCTGTGCTCCAAATGAAGGGGATATATGTCTTGCTGTCCCCATAGTTACACGTAGAGCTTCAGCAACGGACTATGAGCTTCTCGATAGTCGTTTAGGTAAATCTAAAAGATTGTTAGATACTCCGATATCCATAACTGTGACTGACACTCAAGCTGAGCTAGATGGTAATTTAACCTTAAAAAATGATGATATACATGCATTGAGTACTCCAGGGTTATTTTTAGAAGACCAAAGGTTTACTCGTCGAAACAGCTTCCTGTCTTATTCTACAGCTGTCGAGGTCAATGGCAAAGAGGATCAAGAACCTATTGATGATGATAAGCATTTTCATCCATCTGCTGAAATACAAAACAAGATAGTAAGCTCATCTTCATTTCTCAGTGGACTGCAAACAAACGAGTCTATATTACTGGATACGGATACTGATAAACAGAAAATTACGTATAAACGACTTCCACCTGTTATCACTTATGATTGGATCAAATTCCCTGCTGGGATTATGGCTATTGGTGTAAAGTATTCTTCACATGTTAGTAGTAATCAAGATCAAATCTTAGTCACACTGCACACAGGTAAAAATCTGCTATCTCCTCGCTTATGGCATAGAACAATTTTTTGTGTTTACTGTACTATATCTAATAAAGAAATTACTCAAACATTCACTGTTCACAGTAAGGAAACCGAATTCGGTTGTCCACAGTTTTTAAATCATAATGAGATTTCAATGAATATACCAGTAAGAAGATGTTCAATCTTATCTGGAGCACATGATATTGAAGCACCAAAAATACATATAAAATTGAAAATTTTCGAATCCATTCCTAAGTGGTCTGGTGATAAAGAATATTATCACGGATCTTGTAGTATGTCAACAGAAGAGCTTTCGAACGGTCAAAAGGAATTTGAACACATCGGATGGTGTCTAGTTGAAGAAGCTTATCCAGTAAGTTATTGATTTTTTTTATAAAACGGGTCTGATTTCATTATGATCACTTTTAACGAACTAGTAGACAGTTCAACATTATAATTTCTGGTATAGATTGATTAAGTTTACCTGTAAACGTTTGAAATATTTAATGATCATAGTTAACTAAATAATACTTTAAAGTAGAAACCACACAATAATTTAGGAAGATTTTCAAGGAATAAATTTATCTCAATAATAAAAAATTATATATATTTTTATCAGAAACAACTAACTACCAAGATATCCGACGGATTGATGTCTTAATTAGAAAACGTTGAATCATTATCAACAAAATCGACTTAAGTATCGATAAGGAGCAAATATAAACTTTATATTCAAATATAAATATATTGTATTATACCTTGAAGTTGGCATCGAAAACTAGAAATGATAACAATCAAACAATAACTAACAAGCGCTACATCCATCCGTTGAACAATTGAGTTTTAGAAGTTGTTTTGTCTGATTTACAAGTTCCTTGTCAATACGAGTCATTATTTGAACTTCCTACACTAATCTAACTTTTTATTTTATAGTATAGAAATTCGGTTATCAATCCTAAACCATGAAAAGATCCTATCAGTTTATATCATCTTAAATAATTTTATTTTGTAAAAAATCATAAACAGTTTGTTGTAAAACTGAACTATTAATATAAATGAAGTGATAATAATTTGATGATTAAAATAACCCATAATGTCATTGAATAAGAAAAAGAGAATTCAGCGAAGAAAAGTTTTCTTTTCGACGAAATCATTTACTTAAGCTGTACATTCGTATATATACAGTAATATGGAAAATACATATGTCTATAGGAAGACAGAAAAGATTGCATCATAAAAATGAATTCGAGAATAAATAACAAATGAGGTTACGTACTAATCAAGCGGTAAAGAAGAAAATAATTTATGGGTCAGATAATAGTCCAATCGACAGGTATGAAGAAAAGGTCATAATAATAGACTGAATAATATGCAAGAAAACTTGCATAAGGTGGCAATCATAATAACTCATTGGAGTTTTAAATGCAAAACAGTAACTTAAAAAATTCACTAATAATCAATAAAAGTTCAGAAAAACAAACAGAAAAAAAGAACCAGAAACATACCTATTAAAGGAATTAGGGTCAAGGAAGGATGAGAGGTTGGACAAATTGTTTCTGCACGCAAAGTTCAGGCTTGAGTTCATGAATTGCCAATGCCTCAGCAGTGCATAAAATATTGATTCCAGCCCCCCTTCGATCCAGTTCCTTTGACTCTGTAGATTACTTTAAGAGTCCTTTGGAGCGATGTGTCAACAGTTAATTAAATGCTCCTGTATCGAAATAGTAATTGTTTTGCATTCTCCCTTTAAAAGCCAAGCCCGATAGTGTTTCGAGTTGCGTTTGGACGGCGATAGATTTGTGCAGCCTATGTAACGTGCTCCACACGAGCAAGTAAATTTATAAATACACATTGATGTGGCCCAAAGCGGAAGTTTATCCTTAACACATCCCCAAATGGTAGGTCGGCTAGAGAAAACAATTCGGAGTTTAGCTGCGTAAAATGTTTTATTTAACGATAAATTATCTTCTTCCTTACCCCTTGATTAGTACGTAACCTCATTTGTTATTTATTCTTGAATTCATTTTTGTGATATAAACTTTTCTATCCTCCTATAGACATATATTTTCCATATTACTATGTGTACGAATGTACAGCTTAAGTAAATGATTTCGTCGAAAAGAAAACTTTTCTTCGCTGAATTATCTTTTTCTTATTCAATAACTTGATGATTTTATTAACACTTCTTTTGACAACTCTAGATTTCTAAAGAAAATTTATTAATGATTAAAGCAATATTAATGATAATTGATAGAATTTGTTTCATTTCAGTTATGGTTTTCGGTATTAGATCGTTTGATCAAAGAAATAACGATAGAGCTTTATTATAACTATTCATCTTATAAAGTATAATTTAGCCCTAAGTAACTGTAATGTTTCTTGATTGATAATTAACCGATATCTACTGTCAAGATATTCACAAACTGAGGAAGTTATAGAATTCACATTTGTAAATATAAAGTAATTTTTATTATTGTAGCATGTTAATTAAATTGTAATAAAATGATAGCTTTTTGATGGAGTTTTTTTCTTTAAGCTGGATGGTTTGGTCGTGATCAAATCATCCACCTGAGCTACAAATCTCTCCACCATCTCAAAATAATAGCTATCTCATTCTTACCATTTTACTGAATAGTATTGTTCTAACATTTCAAAAGATTATTTCTATGAATGCCATTACATTGAAGATATTTTTGTTTGCTTACTTCAATTCCATTATTATACTAATCGTTGGATATTGAGAATTTCCATTCTTTTTGTTTATATATTTTGAACTATTGAGTATTGTGGTATATATGTCACCAGGTAGACATCTTTTCAACATCTGATGAGTCTTTTGTATGTAAAATAAAATTGGAAACGAAATATTAGAATGATATTTCAACTATTTTAAATTCTATTGTTGTTATTTACAATAATGATTTTCACAGTTGCATTTAAGACTAACATTTCAAGTTAATTCGCAAGCTTTTTGTAAGCAATGATAGATAGTGGCTAGCAGTGGAATCCAGGACGCGCGTTTTGTCCTAAGTGGACAACGCGATGCGTTTGAAGCAAACAGTACTAGGTTCGAGTCCTGGAGTAAACATCAACTGTTAGATGCAGGTCCATCCAGCTGACACGTCCCAAATAGGACGAAACGCACGTCCTGAATTCCACTGCTAGCCACTATCCGTCTTTGCTTACAAAACGTTTGTGAATTAAGGCAATATCGAGGCATACGTACAGTATGCACATATGCCAATAACAGACTGATCACTTGTAGTCTTAAACCTCAATAGGAAGATACAAACCAAACAATACCAAGTGAATCTAACATTTTTAGGTTTATGAAAATACTTTAAATTAGGGTTAAGTAATAGCTAAACTCAGCCGATTAATCAATAAACAAAACAAGTGTACAATGTACCTATGATTATGGTAAACCATCGTAAAGATTTTTCTATAATTCACATTAAACAAATAATATATGTAAATTCCTAAAAACAATTATGACATATAGTTTGTTTTATGTTGAAGAAATTGTGACAGTTTCAGTCATCACTGATTAACATTATTTGAACTAACTTTGTTTATCTACTATGTATTTGATAATCTTGATAAAATTTTGTTTGATAGTTGACTGATACTTCGAAAACTACCTTTATGTATTAAACAGAAAAAGTACTTAAAATCTAACTCGATCATTCAATCTAGTATCAATTTTAACCTAGTAGACATTGGTATACAAACTTCAAATTAACACATAAGTTTAATAAACAATTGTTTAATGAATTTAATTGTTTTGTAAGGTGATACTTTATTTGTTACAATTATAAATAAATAAAAGAAATGAAATGATTTAATTACATTGCAATTTCATAATTTTCATATAAATATGAGCAGAAGTCATTTATTATGATGGAATAAACTGCAAAATTGTGCATGGATGACAGTTGACAAAGTCGTTCGAGGTAAAGACCGGTATGTGGCAAGGTTGCTTACTTTCACCCTTCCTCTTTCTCCTATTGATCGACTTGATCATGAAGACGTCAATATCTGAGGGAAAGTATGGGATACAGTGGAAAGCTAGGATGAAGCTGGACGATCTAGACTTCGCGGATGATCTGTCTCTTCTATCACACACGCAACAACAAATGCAGGTGAAGACGATCAGTGTAGCAGCAGCCTCAGCAGCAGTAGGTCTCAATATACACAAAGGGAAAAGCAGGATTCTCCGATACAACACAGAATGCACCAATCAGCATATCTACAACTGAGGAACATCTGGAACTCAAAGCAACTGTCAACCAACACCAATCTCAGAATTTTCAATACAAATGTCAAGACAGTTCTACTATATGGGGCGGAAACTTGGAGAACTACGAAAGCCATCATCCAAAAAATACAGGTGTTTATTAACAGTTGTCTACGCAAAATAATTCAGATCCGTTGGCCGGACACTATTAGCAACAACGTACTGTGGGAGAGAACAAACCAGATCCCAGTGGAAGAAGAAATCAGGAAGAAGCGCTGGAAGTGGATAGGACACACATTGAGGAAAGCACCCAACTGCATCACAAGACAAGCCCTCACATGGAATCCTCAAGGATAAAGAAAGGAAAAGAGGAAGACCAAAGAACACATTACGCCGGGAAATGGAGATAGACATGAGAAAGGTGAATAAAAATTGGATAAAACTAGAAAGGAAGGCCCAGGACAGAATGTGTTGTAGAATGTTGTTCGGCAGCCTATGCTCCATTGGGGTTAACAGGCGTAAATAAGTATCAGTCATTTATTAATCTAAAATTCTTAAAAGAAATCCTATGGGTGAATACTGGCTTTTTCTATTAGAAGAATTATTGAGAATACAACAACAAAACAATATTGACCATTCATAAAAACATCAACGAATTTTGTGATTCAAAATTCACATAGAAAAAGAAATATGATTCATATCAACATGGTTTGAAACAATAGAAACTACTTTATCAACATGGATCCATTTGATTTTGGAAAGTATAAATAATTTAAAAAGGTCCTTTTAATATTGAAGGAAAATGAATAGTTGAAGAACTTCATGTATTTATAAAATGTGCAGCATTCAAAACGGAAAAGAAGATCACACTATCTGATCAATCTGAAAAGTTTTGGGCGAATCTTAAATAACTTATTCACAATCACACCATAAAGATATTCAAGATATACAAATCTAACATTTTTTTGGACTCACTAACAGATAAGCAGATAGATCAAAGCTATTTCATGTAAAAATGCCTTTGACATGAATGGTGAAATTTGCTTATTTCTGATAAAAATTTTTAATTATTTGTTATTATACATACAACGTGGGAATTAACTAGTCAGTAATGTCAAATACTAAACATATCTGCTACTGTGGATCCTTCACCATTAACTGATGAATATCAAAAATCTGATTTGATCGGGAAATTGTAAAAGAAGTTAGAAATTTCAGTTGAAGCTAGACCAATGCGGAAAACCTGTAAGCACTGGACGGCCATTTCGTCCTATTGCGGGACTCCTCAGCAGTTCAACTCCACTACCCCTCTCTCGGGATTCGAACCCAGGACCTATCAGTCTCGCACACGAGCGCTTAACCACCAAATAACTCATCTCAATGGTGGATGTGTCGCTCAATTTCGTGGATCGGTTGGAGTTAGACATTAACACCGTTGGATGCCGGCCAGCTCAGTGGTCTAGAGGTTGAGCGCTCGCGCGCGAGACTGATAGTTCCTGGGTTCGAATCTCGCATCGAGGGGAGGGATCGAGGATGAGCACTTCTGAGGAGTCCCACAATAAGGAGGAAACGGTCATCCAGTGCTTCCACGTTTTCCATGATGGTCCAGCTTCAATTGACTCATGATCTCAACTATTGAAATTACTACTATCTCCACAAAACCCCTTCTGATACTAAACAACATATGCTCACTAGTGACTGGCTTCAAAATGTATATCCTGGAGTTCTAGTGAGAAGCATTGACCAGTGGAGTTCAGTTGTGAGATAGTAACTCAATGATGATGAATATATTCTTTTGTTATGTCGCAATGAGTAGAAATTTGTATTTCTGACGTATCGCGACTTAATGTTAACTGTTTCTTCAGAATAAATAAATAACAGAAATGAAATTAACACAAGTTTGAATAGTAGTAGTAGAAAGGAAACAATGTAGAATATTTTTGGTACAATCAAAATCATAATAGGTCTGAATAGTTCAATGTCAAGTTATTCTTGGTCAAGGTGATTTTGTATGACCTGTTAATGTATTAATTTGTATGTCAGTGTGGGTATGAGAAAATGTAAGCATTTGTAAAATCAAATAGTGGGGTTGAAACTAGGTGTGTGTGTAGATTGTGTTGAAAACAAATAACGTCAGATATCGTTGTTTGGATAAATTGTCCACTTTGGATGAATATTCAGACCTTCTTTCTTATTGAGGGCAAAGGGATTTAGCATTATGTGGAACGCTTCGGCTACTCACCTCTCTTTGTAGTTGGAAAAACCTTCTGAATTATCATGATATTTTTAGTATCAGTTACTGAAAATAGCATGTACTGCTATATCGCACATTTGATTTTTATCATGAATATAATAACGTGAATTCAAAAAACCGAAATCTGCAATTTGTACAGAATAAATGAGGTTTCATGTGTCCGGTGCGCCTGGTGCGCAAATATGTAAATTAGCACACAACCAAAGTTTCTGAATTAAGATTGGCTCAGCTTCTATCATCAAACAACAGTGTATGAGATACATGGATGCATACATACTAACAAAAATAAATCTGAAAAGAATTACAGTCTATGCAAGATAATAAACTTTTCTAAGTAAATAAATACAATAGGCTTGTAATTATTATAAGGTAGGGAGCTTGAATGTAAAAGCACAGAATATTTGTTCGCATTTAAATGACATAGTTATTATTCAGACAAAGTTTATAAACACAATATAATGAATTTTAGTTTAAATGTTTCACCTGTTGCATTTAAGACACTCAATGAGTTTTTGAAGTTTAATGCACGTCTCACAGAAGCGAAAACGAGCTTAGAATTTGCTATTAATCGAATACAATGTAATAGATATCCTAAATTTTTATTTATTTGTGTATCACTTTAAAAAACACACCATAATTTCATTTGTCATCAGGCATAATTCAATCATATTTGTAACGTTTTTTAGGTAATACGTTTATCAGGTGATATGTTGATTTCAATATGTCGTAATCAAAGCAAAGGATTTGTTAATATTCGAATACATGAAATAAGAAATTTACAATTTCTTTCATGTGGAAGATGGAGAATTGAAAACTTGAACGATGTGTTAAATAACAGAGCTTGTAAGTAATTATAAAATTCATTATATATATATAATGGTATGGATTTAATTATAGGTCAAAAGCTAATCTTTTATCCATATTGTTTACGAATTTGCATTTCGATAAAAGTGTACACAAAGTTTGTGCTGATGATGTCGTTCAGAAGAACGATGAAAGCTCCACAACCAAACCGTCCAGCTTGAAAAACAAAACTCCAACATAAATTATGTAGCCACATTAAGGAAATTTTCTTACCCATGTCATTTTTACAATATACACGACCAAGGTAGTTACATGGAGAATATTGTGTTCGAATCAGAATTTTACTTAGTTTGTCTTGTAAATAGTTAATTCATAGATTCATTATTAAAGCTAATATAATTCTTCTTGAATAAAATGCGACACTAGTTGGACTGAAAATGCGTTGTCGCAATGATGTGCACTTATTCTGATATTTATCGTCATAAAATATCAAACTTGAGTGGTTCCGAATATCAAATTAATGGTTTGGAGAATGAATCAATAATTCTCATGATCACATAATTTAATCTCTGTAAACTAATATCTGTCAAATCACCATAGCTTTGAGAATTTTACTTTGATAGTAATAATATGGCTTACAATGCAACAGGAAAGAGTAAATAAAAGAAATGATTCTCCTGATTATCTAATTTCAAAGTTAGTCGTCAAAGCATTAGAAGACCTTGATGTAGTCAAGGAGAAGACTGATGTGTACTTTAAATGAACTGTTTCTTTATTATAAAACTTTATACGATACCTTAAATATTCTATTACACATACTGCTCAGTAATTTTATAATAATAAAAATTTATAACACGAAATTACAGTTAGTGGATTGTGTAAAACTATATGCAACAGAATTGCTGATATGTAAACCTAGTCACATGAGATTTATTAGAAATAATTAAAAACAATACTCTGAGAATTAGTCGATGATTATTCACTTCCGAGTCTTTTATGTTCTAATTTATCACCTAATACCTACGCTGTGTTTACCAGAACCTTATCAGAAATAAATAAATAGAACATAAATCGATTTTCTTCAATAATCGATATTAGGATGACAAAACAAAACTTAAGATTTGAACTGTAAACTGTAACTACGATAATTTTGGAACCTAATTAACAAATACACTTACTAATGATCATTACAGCTAATCATCAACTCAATGTCAATTAGTCAGCAGCGCGTGAGTTACAGTATTTTAAATTTAAGTGATCAAGGACGTTATCCAAGAGTGAAGGAAAGTAGGTATAAAGATTTTCGATAAGTTCAACAATAACATATTTCAAATTATTTACTAAATAATGTCTTCATATGTCAAAATCACTCTGCTAACATTTATCATTACTTATCCCATTAATAACTGTAAACTAGTAAGCATTTTAGTTAATTTACTATACCTTTATTATTAATCGTAACTCATACTTATCAGTAAAGAGCTTTGATAAAAATTTATCTCCATTAACTGCTTTTCGTTTAGTTTTTTTTCTCTATATGTTTGAATCCAACACTTATTCTGATAGAATATACATAGAGACGTTTAATGTGAGTCGTTGAGTTAGTTCTGTATGTACTAACAACAATGAACATTATAGTATATTTATTACGTAAGTTGTTTTCTGTGCACAGTACTCTCAAAGTCAACACATAAATGATGAAATGAATGTTGAAAGAAACTCATGTGATTAGGAAAATTTATACATTCACATGTAATTCCAGTGAAGTTGTTACAACCATCCTATTTACTTAATTTCCCAGTACTGTTTTCCAATTAATTGTCCCTATGCGAACTGTCATTTAATCATAGCGTTTAAATGACTGAAGATATTATATAAGCTTCTAGTAAATAGAGTAGTTAGAGATAAGAATCTCACTGATTTCCATTGTTTGTTTACCTTCATCCTTGACACTTCAGAAACTAGATTACTATCTTAACGAATCAATAATGTTTTGATAAATAGATAAGCTCTGATGTAGTGCACAAACAACCTCTGTGTTGTTTTATGTCAATAAGATTACCAATCTTTGTACACTTTTCAACTAGTAGGTTATTTGAAAATGATTTGGATATAAAAACACCAGCAGTTAAAATAATGTAAATAAAGACATTAGGTTAAATAAATGGTATTTAGATTTTGATTCGAAGAAAATTATCAATCGAATAACTATGGTGTTTGTTATTTTTCATTCTCTGAAAATCATTAAAATGTTTAGTCAGACTTGAAGATTGGGCAATTGTAATTATGAAACACAAACACATTTTCTAGGAATCAATTATCTGTTTCTAATATTCTCATCACACATATAATTCTATATTTCATAGCCAAATACTTAAAAGTTATTAACCAAATTTTAAAAAGTATAACTCATAAGTTCCAGAAAAATGACAATAATAATAAATATGCACTAACGATAATTTGTTAATTCTATAATTTGAACTGTTTCATATTTCACAGATTGAAATCATGAGTCAATTGAAGCTGGACCACCATGGAAAACCTGGAAGCACTGGACGGCCGTTTCGTCCTAGTATGGGACACCTCAGCAGTGCGCATCCACGATCCCGCACTCCGCGAGATTCGAAGCCGTTACCAGTGGAGTTCAACCAGGTCTGTTGTGAGATATCAACTCACTGAAGACAATGGTATACGGTGGCACAACTTCATGGATTGGCTGATGTTGGATGCCGGACGGCTCAGTGGTCTAGTTGGTTTAGAGCTTGGCGCGAGGCTGATAGTTTCTGGTTTCGAATCTCGCGGGTGGCGGGATCGTGGATGCGCACTGCTGATGAGTCCCATACTAGAACGAAACGGCCGTCCAGTGCTTTCAGGTTTTCCATGGTGGTCTAGCTTCAACTGACTCATGATTTCAATCAGTGAAATTTCTAAAATCTCCACAAATCTCTTCTGTTTCATATTTACTTGCTCATAATAAACGTTTCATTATAATAAACATTTTGGGTAAGTTCCCTAAAATCTTCAACCATAAATATTTTAATTATGCCATTCCGTTTTGTTCATAGATGAAATGACAGTATATAGCTGTTTGATTAATGCTGGCCATATAATTAAGTCAATCAAGGCAACAACAATCCATCATCCTTCTCGAAGAACTTCAAAACATTATGGAACAGATGTAGACAAATCAACAGAAAACAAGCTATGCGAAGCAAAAACTACTGAGACAAAATCTAACAATTTCACACTGGTTGATTGTTTTGTTCACTTTAGTCTACCTACAGTAAAAAAATCTGTTGGTAGACATTTAGCAGTTAAACATGGTATAACGATATACGTAAAAGGTAAACTACCGATTTCAGATTTAATACCTTATGAATGCTTGAATCAACTTAAACAAATGTCAATTACTGTACACGTGTATTAAATGCTATTGGTGAATGCCATTTTGGTGATTACGGCTTCCAGAGTGATTCAATTAAAGATTTTAACAGACCACCTTCATGCCATTCTAGTCAAGGCTTTTCATTTTGGAATGATGCAGGTTCGCGTAATGGAACTCGTATATACCAGTGGTTACGTATTGAATGATGATCATAAATACTACGCTTTTAATGTAATTCAGTTAAAGAATCCAGTGCAGCATTCTTTGAACTGTACAATTTCGAATATCATAATTATTCAGCAACTTACATTTCAGTCCATTTTAACAAGTGTCATCTATTTTTCAACTTAAATTAAGAGACCTCCTGAGTAATCAGAAATGATTCTTTTTAAGGATATATTTAAATAATTGAATGTGTTTGTTTTATGAAGCAGAACTCGTTAATCATTATTGTAATAATGTCATCGATCGTGTCATTGATCACAGAAACATACCTAAACTTCATCAACATTCCATTGAAAAGCAACAACAATTAGTTTCTTTAAAATTATTATTTTATTCATTCATTTACAATACGCTGCCATTTATTCAGTTGTCAGTAATATGCCATAGTGATTAATATTGTCTTGTCTAACAATTTTGGGAAAAAGTATCTCGTATGTGTTGCTTGCTTCATCAAAGGAAATAAATTCACTACTAAAATAATAAATGTTTTTCTTGGTAGAAATGTAAGAAAAAAACTATTTTATTTTGCAAAAACCACATGAAAAACTCTATGTTCAGTTCTTTATCAAAATGATATGATAAGTATCAAAAACATTATCAAGATAAATGGCATGCTGTGACGTTGAACAATGTCATTACTTCTTACGTCATTATTACGTTACAAACAAGATGCGATTACCAAGATTCTTAGATTATATATATACTAAATTAATGACATAAATAAATTTTATTTTATACATTCTGCATACATCCTAAGTTATGGTTTTCACCTAAAAAGCTAAATGACAAATTTACTGGTGGTTTAATTATTCCAATAGATTTTATAATGATAGTTCTTGATCTATTTGATTGAGGATGTTTTAAAAATGTAAATTATTGTAACGAGGCAAAGTACAGACTTGAAATATTCACTGCTGAAGTATCCTAATAACACATGAAACAGGTTATTATTTACTCTTAGGATGAAATACGTTGACTAATAGTGACTTGTGACTATTTTTAAATTTCACTTTATTCTAGATGTTTGACAAAAGACACTGTACTTAATTAGTGTTGGGAAATTGAAAATATCAGAAGGGGTTTTGTGATGATTTTCAATAGTTGAAATCATGAGTCAATTGAAGTTAGACCACCATGGAAAACCTGGAAGCATTGGACGGCCGTTTCGTCCTAGTATAGGGCTCCTCAGCAGTGCAAATCCACTACCCCGCCCTGAGAGATTCGAATCCAGGACCTATCAGTCTCGTGCCAGGCGCTTAACCAACTAGTTAATAATAAATCAGAAAGGGGGTTTGTGGATATTATAGTAATTTCAATAGTTGAGATCATGAGTTAATTGAAGCTAGATCATCATGAGAAATCTGTAAGTACTGAACAGCCCATACTAGGGCGAAACGACAGTCCAGTACTTCCAGGTTTTCCATGGTGGTCTAGCTTCAACTGATTCATGATATCAACTATTGAAATTACTATAATATCCACAAACCCCCTCTCTGATTCATTATTAAATAAATTTCTCAGAAGGGGTTTGTGGAGATTTTTAGAAATTTTCACAGATTGAAATCATGAGTCAGTTGAAGCTAGACCACCATTGAAAACCTGGAAGCACTGGACGGCCGTTTCGTCCTAGTATGGGACACATCAGCAGTGCGCATCCACGATCCCGCACCACGCGGGGCTCGAACCCGTCATCTAAGTTTCCTCATGAAGTATCATTGAAATATCAATATAATGTGTTATTTTGTAGCATACAGGTTCGATCTCGTTATTTTATAAAATATAACTATGCTAAGCTATTTAGAGGCATGCAAGTGTTACACTTACATGCTTTCCGAGGAGACAATTTCCTTCCTGATCACCTATTTGTATTGATTATTTAATATACACAATAAATTTTTAGTCATAGTAACAAATCTATAAACAGTATAAAATGTAGTAATAAAAACAAGTGGGATATGTTATCGTTTTTAGTTCAGTAGACATTTGAATTTTTGGCTCTGTTCACCTATAGACAAAACAAAATATCATAAATATAACCTTGTTTATCTATAGATTTCTAACTGATAATTTTCATCCAGCTGAATGAAGATATGGAAAGCTTGATGTTATGTTTAATTTGCAAAGTTATTAATGTTGAAGAAGCCCTTATTCTAGCTTCTGGACAGGCCAGTTTATCTGTTGTTCTTGAGTCACGTTTTGACCTTGTTAATTATTCACTTATCTACCCTGTCTGTTTTTATATGAGCTTATATGTCTACACTTTTTATCCTATTCATCACATGTCTGTAACTTATTTTTATCTGGCTATAAATATTGATTGACGCCTGATTTAAGTGGAGTCGGCTCACACGCCTCCACTGCTCGTCATTTTGCTTTGCTGACTTCCCCTTTCCAACCAAGATGAATTAATTTTTGTGGTGATATAAGTGATAACATTTAGAAATAGAACAATAAGTCATGAACGTTAGTAAAAAGGTGAACGTTTTAGCCCGAGTAATGTAATGATAAATCTATTTATATTACAGTTATCTGCTCCAAATAAAATTCAGAAAGGTTTAATTTGTCATTTCCATCTAATCAATATATATAACAGTAAAGTATAAAACTCAAATGATTATTCTGTGAAACTAAAGAAATTTCGAAACCGGTTGGAATATCGAACAATAAGCTAATTATTAGAGGTTGAATTTTGAAGTTTGTCACTCACCGTATCCCGATTTCAACAGTTGGTAAACACCTATTAATGCTTTGTAAAATGTCAAATAGGGTCAGTTCATTCTAAAAATAAATGTATTATTAGCCTTTTATTTTATTTAAACGATGTTTTGTTTTTCTGTGAAAATATCTTGCTATAGTTGCAAATCAACTGTATTTTATTTACTAATATGTACTAATGCATAAGTAGAAAAATGAAAACCAATGGTAAACAGTATGTTCTATATGATTGGACAATATCATCATATTCTAGGTCGATTTAAATAACCTAGGGTAGATTAGCTACTTGACAGAACTTGTGGAGAAAGAAAGATGAAATCTGATCTGTCATTAACATAAAATGTTCATTTAGTCAAAGTAACCGATATTTCACACGAACAATCAAAGACTGGAATTAATCGGTATGAAATGATAATTATGTGCAATGATGAAATTATAAACAAACGATTAGTAAAAAAATTATAAAGCATAGAAGAAAATAGGTACAAACGATAAGTATGTCAAGCAAAGATGGATAGTGTCTAGCAGTGGAATCCAGGACATGCGTTTCGTCCTATTTGGGACTCGTCGGCTGGATGGACCTGCATCTAACAGTCGGTGTTCACTCCGGGACTCGAACCTAGTACTGTTTGCTTCAAACGTCATCGCGTTATCCACTTAGGACGAAACGCGCGTCCTGGATTCCACTGCTAGCCACTATCCATATTTGCTTAAAAAGCTTGTGACTTAAGGCTATATCAAGGCAATCCGCACTGGATGCACATATGCCAACATGAGACTCATGAATTGCAGTCCTAAATAACAATGGGAAGATACAAGTAAAACGACACCAAGTGAAGATAAGTATATCCTTCAAAAGCAAAATATTCATTGTATATTCCTAATTAATCAAAGCAATATGGTTCAGTATATTACAGTAAAGTTTATTGTAAAAGTATTTACATTAAATATTGAAAAAGTGTATTTCACATAAGATAAACTGATAATAACTAACTCTGAGAAACTTTGTCATGACTAGCCACCTTGAAATGTCTATCAATTATAATGATTATTTGATTAATTTAAAATTTTGGTCCATTTTTTTAATCATTTATATACAGAGCAATAGAATAACTTATATGAACAACTTGTTTCCATCCATTAATTATAAAAATCTACTTATTGTAAGCGGTAATTCTAGACTAAATTTCTCAATTTAATATGTCATGAAGTTTTTACCTTGCTTTAATCTAACTGCATAATACTAGATGAAGAAGATGAATTATTGATCGAAAGAGGTTTAAGAGTAGACCGTTTTAGATGAACTGTCTTACGTTCAAATTAATTACGCCAACTATGTCTATTTCTTCGTACTTAATTTGTCATACATTCACCGATTGGTCCTACAGATTATGATTGTGGAGATGATGACATTCTGTAAACAAATATCATGGCAATATTTTCATAATATACATTCTTTATTGAAATCTAATCCTAAAGCTCATTTAATTTAATGGCTTCTTTGAATTCAGTGCATTTAATTCACAAGTTAATCTATGATTATTATTTGTAAGGACTGGAGTTTTTTCTTTTGTTGATATTCAAGACAAGATTTGATCAGTCTCTGTTGGTGAATATGATTCTCTAACTAATGCCTGTTATTATACCTTTGTTAGTAATAAGTCTTCTAGATTCGCTTCCTAAACTCTCCTAGTAACTTCTAGGTTAAATCTACACAGCGACTTGAACACAAGAGAAAAGGCGCGAAATAGGGAAGAAACGCTTTACTCCAAAGGTTCACTTATGTGCAGAAAATCTAGGGTTTTTTAAATAGTAATTTAGATGGCCTTATGTTTGCGGAAAACTCTAGAACGCTACAACATGGGAAATTATCCAGTCAGGAACTGAACATGTGACTCTTCACTTTTTAGATGTTTATGGCAAAATTTCTATTTATTGCTTATTGGACAAGATGCTTCTCAGCGTTTTCACAGACTTTTTGGCTTTTTTCGAGGAGTTTTCTGGATCTCTCCAACAGTT